TTATAATCAGTTCCCCTTTCTCTCCCACCTTCCCTCCACCCTCCCGGTATTGCCACTCTCACCACTGGTCCTGAAGGGCTCATCTGTCCCGGATTCCCTGTGTTTCCAGTTCCTATCTGTGCCAGTGTACATCCTCTGGTCTAACCAGATTTGTAAGGTAGAATTGGGATCATGATAGTGGCGGGGAGGCAGCATCGAAGAACTAGAGGAAATTGTGTGTTTCATTGTTGCTACACTGCACCCTGACTGGTTTTTTGGCACACACACATGCGCACACGTGCACAGAGCTGTGTGAATTGACTGCCATGCTTCCTGCCCCACAGGGAATGCCTCCAACACCTCTCAGAGACCAACAGAGAAGGTGATGGACAGAGAGGTAAAGGGCTCTGATGGGGGTGTCTGAGGGCCAGCCCCAGGGACCCTAGCATTTATCAATGACAAGAGAGGGGAGAGTCTACCTGTGCTTTGGGCTCCTGCTGCCAGCCCAGCACATTCCTGCACTGGTCTGCGTGTCCTCAGCGAGTCTCTCAGCAAGTGCCGGGAAGGAGCAAGCCCAGGAGCACAGTGAAGGCTGGAGGCTCACAGGTGGGGGAACGGGGCGGGAGGACGCCTGGTCTCCAGAGCAGTGTCTGGTCTGCGCTGTTGGCAGGTCTGCACCGGGAGGTGTCGGAGGTGCCTAGAGCTTCCTTCTGAGACAGGGGGGCTGGGCTCCTTGATGTCCTCCACATTGATGTGGACCGCAAACCTCAACCCTTCTGACATCCGGTATGGACAGGCGATGGTGGGGGCCATGCAGTGGTGCCCCCCACTTTTGCGGATTTTTGGAGTGAAAGTGAACCGAGAGCCATTGGGTAAGAGGTGGGGGTCAGGGACATTGAGGTGCTATCCATGTTTGATCACCCCAGTTTTATGCTGAGTCCCTTTAGGGTGGGGTCTTTGGGTGGTGCAAACAGTGAGTGAGCTCATTTGGGGGGGGGGCATTTAGCAGTTTGAGGTCTCCCAGCAGGGCCTGGGAAGAAAGGCCTGATGGTAGACTTCTGCAAAATCCAGCCGTTGTAAACCTGGGAGCACAGCCAGTCTCGGACCCCCGTGGAGCTGCCGTGAGGGGGAACCAGCTCACGTCAATGCTTTCCCATCTGGGGCGCCCAGGATGACTCCCCCACAGTCTGACACAGGGGGAGGCTACGTAGCTCTGTGGAGACTTGCTTTCTCCTCTGCCGCACGGGAAGCCTATCTCCCTTGGAGTGGTGGGTGCAATGCAATGAGACGGTACGTCTAGCCAGAACACGGTACGTGTTCCTTTGCCGATGGGTTGGTCTGACGCATGGTGACTCTGGGTGTGACAGGGGAGAACTGCCCACAGGGTTTCTAGAGGCAGCAGATCGCCAGGCCTTTCTTCCACAGGGCTTCTGGGTGGTCGGGAACCACCCACATTTGGGGTAGGAGTTGAGCACGCACCATGTGAGCACATGCTGTGGTCCCAGCACCTGGAGGATCCTCAGTAAACAGGCCCTTGCACCCACTCCTATGACTGTCCCTGCCCGACATTGGCTCAGCCCATGTTTTATTTCTTTCTTTGACACCAGTTGCCTTCTGCTGACGGTCAGGTCCTGATTGCAGAGGCCAGCGCTGTCCTTCTTTGGGAAGTGCAGATGGGTCCCCAAACGAAAGCTTTTCAGAAGAGTACCAACTATGTTCGTTTGTGTGGTGCTTTACAGCATCTCGGAGCGTTGGACTGAACTCGAAGGCAGTGAGTGAGACCAGAACACTGAAGGACACCCCACTCCACGTGGGGTTATACTCGCAGATTTCTGGTGGCTTAGTGGTTATGCACCGCACTGCAATCCACAAGGTCAGAAGTTTGAAACCATCAGCCGCCAAGGGAGAGGGATGGGGTCTTCTATTCCTGTGAACAACTGCAGCCTGGAGAGCTCACAGGGGCAGGTCCACCTGTCCTGTAGGGTCACTGTGAGTCGGCATTGACTCGATGGCAGTAGGTTTTCTTTGGTTTTGGCTTTACTAGTGATGGATTGCTTTATAATAACACTCCATCACTGACTGCTCCCAGCTGCCTGATGAGGCAGATATGATTCTGCCCACTTCTCAGGTTTGGGAACAACACCAAGGAGGGCACATACAGGAACCAGGATCAGAGAAACAGGACATTATATAGACCTACCTGCAGCAGAGGGCAGGTTCTTGGCAGCAAGCAGAGACCCTGAAGTGTCCCATTGGCCAGATTGGGCCTGGGAGGGGCCTGGGGAGGCACACGGCCTGCTCTCTAGTCTAGGGGAAGAATAGGACAGCCCCCCTTACACTGCCATTGGGGGGCTTGGAACCACCCCCCAGCTCCTGCTAAGAGGGGGAAGTCAATCTGATAAGTCTGTCTTATTTTAATGTTGGTGGAAAGAGCTCTCCCATTTATGTTGATTTTTTAAACAGTTGTATTGACACTTCATCTGCACCCCCCATTTATTTAGCTGCTTCTGGTTGACAGAACACGTCTGAACACACGCTCCTGTATAAGCCCGGCTGATCAACTTGCTTCGAGGTAGGCCCAGGCCTTTTTCTTTTTTTTTTTTTTAACATTTTATTAGGGGCTCATACAACTGTTATCCCAATCCATACACACATCAATTATGTAAAGCGCATTTGTACATCGTTTCTCAAAACATTTTCTCTCCGTTGAAACCCCCGACATTAGGTCCTCATTTTTCCCCTCCCTCCCCGCTCCCCCCTCCCACATGAGCCCTTGATAGTTTATAAATGGGTATTTTGTCATATCTTGCCCTGTCCGACGTCTCCCTTCATCCACTTTTCGGTTGTCTGTCCCCCAGGGAGGAGGTCACACACAGTTCCATGTAATCGGTTCCCTCTTTCCTACCCATTCTCCCTTTACCCTCCCTGTTTTGCCACTCACACCACTGGTCCTATAGGGCTCATCCGTCCTGGATTCCCTGTATTTTCAGTTCCTATCTGTACCAGTGTACCTCCTCTGGTCTAGCCAGTCTTGCAAGATAGAATTCGAGTCATGGTAGTGGGAGCGGGGAGGAAACCTTTAGGAACTAGAGGAAGATTGTATTTCTCATCATTGTTACATCGCACCCTGACTGGCTCATCTCCTCCTCACACCCCTCTGCAAGGGGATCTCCAGTGGCCTACTAATGGGCTTTGGATCTCCACTCCGCACTCCCCCCATCATTCACTATGGTAAGATTTTTTGTTCTGATGATGCCTTACACCTGATCCCTTCGACACCTCGTGGTTGCATAGGCTGGTGTGCTTCTTCCATGTGGGCTTTGTTGCTTCTGAGCTTGATGGCCGCTTGATTACCTTCAAGCCTTTAAGACCCCAGACGCTATACTTTTTGATAGCCGGGCACCATCAGCTTTCTTCGCCACATTTGCTTATGCACCCATTTGTCTTCAGTGATCCGTTCGACACCCTGTGATCACACAGGTTGATATGTTGTTCCATGTGGGCTTTGTTGCTTCTGAGCTAGATGGCCGCTTGTTTACCTTCAAGCTTTTAAGACCCCAGACGCTATATCTTTTGATAGCCGGGCACCATCAGCTTTCTTCACCACATTTGCTTATTCACCCGCTTTGTCTTCAGCGGTTGTGTCGGGAAGGGCCCAAGCCTTTTTCATCTCCATTTCTTCACACAAGAAAAGGGAGGCCCTCTAAGGTCACATGACCTGCCCAAAGTCACACCCACAGGGTCTCAATGAGGCCCTCTGACTTCAAGTCCAGAAACTCAAACCCCCACCAAACCCAGCGCTGTCGAATCGATTCTGACTCACAGCGACCTTAGAGGGCTGTGACCTAAAATGGCCCCATTCGCTCTTCGAAGCTGTCAGTCTCCCGGGGACGGAAAGCTTCATCTTTCTCCCATGGTGCAATGGATGGAATTGAACCGCTGACCTTGTGGTTAGCAGCCCAACAGGTAAACCCACTGGGCACACCACCTGGGCTCCTGAGTCTAGAAAGCTTCCCCTGAAAAACCTCTTAAGCGTCTGAAACACCGTGTGGTTTATATAAATATAATATATTTTGAAGAAAGACTGGTGAGTCGACACACTGCTAGTCCTGATTTCCACTGCTCTTTGCAAAGATAATGGCTGAATATGGGTGACAAAGAAAACGGGGTTTTCCACTCCCATAAACAAGACTGGGGCGTGCAAAATGCCATTTTTGCTTGCCGCCCATTATCTACTTCTTGTAGGCCATGAAAACAAAAGAGGGACTGTTTTATTCTCTCCGCTTCCTGTTCAGAGGCCCACGGTAGGAGGCGCTCACTAGCTCTCACGCCCTGCAAGGGCGACTTCAGGGCTTGTTCTGCTCCGATTCAAGGCAAGGTTTCTGGAACCTGCGGCTGGCAAGCCCTTCCCTCCCTGAGGGCGGTAGACAGTGGCTTATGTTTGACACTTGACCACCTTGGTGTCCCTGTCCTGTCCCCCGTCTGCTCCCTCATAGGGTGTCGCCATGAGTACTCACTAAGTCGGTGGCATCCGTGCGTCTCCTCACGGGCTCCTCTGTGGATAGTTGGCGCCCGGCTGCAATCTTTCCTAGGCAAATGCATCGTCCGGGGTCTTGTGAGGTGTGTACATGCTGACTCAGGAGGTCTCAGGTGCAGCCCACCCACTGTGCCTTTCAAACCCCAGGTGATGTCGACACTGCTGACTGATCCGGGAGCCGCACTGGGAAGACCAAGGACTGGGCCAATCTCTCCGAGGAAAAGAGAACAGAGTCCTTGCATCATGGACAAGGGGGGCGGTTTAGAAAAACACAGCGCTGAGTGCGGAATGCATGAGTTTATTAAACGTTTGCAGTTAAGCACACCCCCTTGGTCACAAAGGATCGATCTTGGTCTCTTGAAACACTGAGAGGGGAAAGGAAGGAGGCAGGAGAGGAGGAGAGGGAAACTGAGAGCAAGAGCGAGCAAGAGCGAGAGTTGGAACGAGAGAGAAAGAGCCAAGAAGCCCACGACTGGAGGACCGGTCACTTCCTGGAGTTCTCTGTGGAGCAGCCACCGCTGGTCTTCGAGAGAGAGTCGGTGCTGCCCACGCTGTGGAGGACCTTGTCGATTTCCCCCGGGAAGTTCTGCTTGTCTTCATTCTCGGTCTCGCGGTGGTAGAAGTAGTTGAAGTTGGAGACGATGACAGGCACCGGGAGGGCGATGGTGAGGACCCCCGCAATGGCACACAGAGTGCCCACTATCTTCCCCCCCGGGGTGGTCGGACACATGTCACCATAGCCCACGGTCGTCATGGTGACCACTGCCCACCAGAAGCCATCAGGAATGCTGGAGAAGTGGGACTCGGGCTCGTCCACCTCGGCGAAGTAGACGGCGCTGGAGAAGACGATGACCCCGATGAAGAGGAAGAAGATGAGCAGCCCCAGCTCCCGCATGGAGGCCTTCAGCGTCTGCCCCAGGATCTGCAGCCCCTTGGAGTGGCGGGAGAGCTTGAAGATGCGGAAGACCCTCACCAGGCGGATGATCCTCAGGATGGCCAGGGACATGTTCTGCTGGGCAGTCGGCTCTGTCTCCTGGACCAGCTCCGTGATGAGCGTTGCAAAGTAGGGGATGATGGAGATGATGTCGATGATGTTCATGATGTTCTTGAAGAAGTCCGTCTTGCTGGGGCAGACCACGAATCGGAGCACCAGCTCGAAGGTGAACCACATGATGCAGGTGGATTCCACCATGAAGAAGGGGTCCGTGAACATGGTGTGGGAGAGGACTGCCTTGCTCGTGTTGAGGCTGGGGTCTCTGATCACCTTCAGCTCCCTGTCCTCCCGGAACTCTGGCAGCGTCTCCAGGCAGAAGATGGTGATCGAGATGACCACAACCAGCACGGAGACCACGGCCACGCCTCGGGCCGCACTGGAGCTCTCGGGGTACTCAAAGAGGAGCCAGAACTGCCGGTGGAAGTCGTTGGTAGGGAGAGGTATCTCAGGGTCTTTGAGGAAGCCTTCGTCCTCCCGGAACTGGTCCATGGCCTCGCTGCCCAGTTCATAGAAGGAGATCTCGTCAGCAAAGACATCAATGGGGACATTGGCCGGGCGCCGGATTTTCCCACCAGATTGGTAATAATAGAGGATCCCATCAAAACTGGGTCGATTCCGGTCAAAGAAATACTCATTTCTCATGGAGTCGAAGAACTGCGTCCTTTTCTCTCGGTCTCCCAGGAGGGTCTCTGGGAACTGATTGAGGGTTCTGAGCTGGGTCTCGAACCTCAGGCCAGCAATGTTGATGATCACTCGCTGGTTTCCTTCCTTCAGGGCCACTGGCTCAGGCCCAGGGGCATCGGCACAGTCTTCGGGAAGCTTGGAGAAGGCTGTCTCGTGGTAAGTGTTGTCACTGATGAGGACCCGCCAGTTAGAGAAGGGGCTGCTCCCGGGCCGGCCTTTGGGGTTGGTTGGGTCGAAGTCCGGTTCTTCCTGGATTTCGTCCGAGTTGTCGAAATTGACTAGAGCAACCTCCATTTCTTTCCAGCCACACACATCCATCCTAGGGCGAGTCAGGGGAGCAGCATGAAGACCCTCCGCCTTCCCTGCCCGCTGTCAGCTGTGGGGAAGAAGGTCATTACACAGGAGCGGTGGATGTGCCGTTACGGAGGTAAATTTTACTAACGGATGGGGAAACGACCCGTGTTAGCTTGGGAAGGGCCTTGTGGTTGTTTGGGCAAAATCAGCTTGTACTCCTTGAGTTTGCACTCACTGAAAACTAGCCTGACTGAGAGAGTTTGGGGGTGGGGGCCATCCTGAAGAAAGATAGGTCTTTATATAGATTGTGTGTGTGTGTGTGCTGAAATAAAAGAGGAAGTTGAACTATTAGTAATGATAAGATACAGGTTTGCATTTGTATGACTGTCCCTTAGTTTACCCAACATTTTCCCACGCCCAGTCTCATTCTTAACTCCTCTCTTTCACACGCAACAGCCAATGCGTCACACCTCATTTGTAAGCAAGGCCTAAGGTTGATTTGGGGGGGACATTACATGAAATCAAGCCAGAAGACCAAACTCACTGTGTTGAGTGGATTCTGACTCATGCTGCCTCCATACGTTACAGCAGACCTGTTCTTCCGAGGCTTTTCTTGACTATCAGCTTCACGAAGACAGATCACCAGGTCTTTCTTCTGTGCCACTGCTGGGTGGGTTTTGAACCATGAGCCTG